CGAGGAAAAAAGGCGCGACATCTCCGGCCAACAACGAGTTTGAAATAAAGGGTTAAAACTTAATAAGGCCGGGAGGAAGCATTTTCTCCCGTGCTCAATTTTGTCATGCGTGAGAAAGTGCGCTGCTCTTCCTCAAAAGAACCTTATTGGGCAATGGACTTTAAGTTGCTGAAAAGTGACAGACACATCTCCAGGGAAATAATCTAAAAGGTAAAAAGTGGTGGTGCCAGCAAGCCCAGCGAAGCTAAATTACATTCAACACTGCGTCGTTTTGCACCAGGATATTTAAAATATGCAAACCTACGAAGAAGTGCCAAGTTCTCAGGCCACCCTCGAGAAGGGCCCCTAATTGGATGGATGAGTATTGAGTCCGTGAAATTTTAAAAGTGCGTTTAATTTTGTTGTTGGTTTTAAAATAAAGTATGCTACCGAGAGGAGAGACTTCTAAAATATCAAAGAGAAAAATGAATAGCGAATTCGCACTTTCCTGCGCAACCCTTCGTTAGCTGCAATATAAATGAAAATTCAACAGCGTCTGTCCGCGTCAACATGAAAGGCAGAAAGGGATCAGCGCATGTTCGGAGAGGACTGCAATTTGCATCGCACTATTTTCATTCCCTCAGAATGGACAAGATTAAATATCTTGGAATCAATCATTGTGAACGGGAATCGTCCTTTTTTCATCAAACATTTTATTGAATGTTTGTTTACTATGCAAACTTCGTCACTAAAATATTTTGGGATATTTATGTTTAATTGATCACTTTTCTTTATCTCGCCTAGAAATATCGGTTCAAATTATGTAGGTAAAAGTTGGTATAAATGTAAATTAATAGTATTCAAAGTGGCGAGGGATATTCACCTCCATCTGAAGACCAAATATGTTGCTTGCTTTCTTGGTGAAAATAAATCATCAAGCTAGATGAAAAACCGGTGTAAAATTAAAAAGTTTGAAATACTGAGGAAAATGTGAACTTTTTATTGAAGAAAGTATAAGTGCTGGGGACTTTGAGGATTTCCTTCCTACCTCATGGCAATAATAATATATCAATTTTGATGTTTTTCAAATTTACAATTATGACGGTTTTGAGATACCGTCTTTATTTGGATTTTAATAACTGGCATTTGAATCTAAGCTTAAATACCACGCGTTTCACTATTTCAAGAATTCACAGGGTTTGAAGGCTTCGTTTTTGGTGGTTCAATCTGGGTTCAAAAGATATAGATCAGATTTTACGTGCCCTTCAAAATGATTACCCTTAGTTTATTTTCCTCCGGGGGCCTGGAAACCTCTTAGTGCCTGCAGGTAAAAAAAATGTAATTCTCAAAATTAAATTAAATTTATCTAATAAAAGCTCAAATTTTGACCAATACAAAAGAGCCACCAGACTAAACTTGTTTCCTTTTTCTTTTGAAAATCCTTATTAATTTCATTTGGTCTTAATTAACTTCTCTGTTCCACTTCATTAAACCTTAACCGTGTTGGTAAATTGAACCAGAAATTTCTTCTTGCAAAATTAAATTAGTTTAAATTTTGCAACACGCACCAACATGAACATTTTTGCATCTTTTATTATGAGTGAGCCACACTATTTCAACAACTTAAGATATTCGATTAATTATAATTTTACTTTCCTACGTAAATGAATGAAATTATATTATGATATAAGCAAAATAAAAAATATGAACGTAGGAAACTATTGGATCATCAAAAGATGATGGAGAGGTATGCAACTCGCCAGACACATAAGTCAAGCGTGCTGCATCACAACGTTTGCAGGTGCGTTTGGCTCGACAGTAAATAATAATAATAATTATCTCCATATAGTTATATGGAGATAATTATTATTATTATTTAGATGGATGTCCTACAGTGGCTACCGCAAAAGTCTTTATTTTCATTTTAATTCATCAACATCTACACGGATGGCTGAATGGCATCAGACGCTTTCCTTTAATGCGATTCAATCTGATCGTTATACTAGTAAGGGAAACAAAATTTGCTCAGCACTGTCAAACTCGGCCACTTTTAATTTTGCCCCATGACAAAGAGTCATTTTATTAAATTATTACTCTGCGTCAGCTCTGCGATCTCTCTAATTTACCCCTTAATTATCTTTCAAAGGTTGGCGATGAATTCGCGAGCTGGAAATTTAACTGTAAAACTGGTTGAAATACATTATCGGGGAATAAACTTAAAGTACACAAGGCGTGAATTGAGCCTACTAGGAAACAATAAAGTACAGAGTTATAATCCCCCTCAATTATAAAATATTATAAAATAATATTTTTTTTTTTTTTGTAAAATTCGGACAGTGTTGATGTATACACTGCTTTCTGTTCTCCTTTTTTTTCAAGGAGATTGTTGGATTTTATTCGGCCAACTTGTAAATTTTTTTATGTTGTACCAAACTACATTGCAAATACTGCCCAGTATCGCAGTATCACACCATAAGTCAATAAAGGATAATAAAAATAATATATCGAAGCGCGGCGTCTCTTTTCTTTCTCTCGTCGCTATTTGCTGCTGCTGCTGCTGCTGCTGCTTGTCGTTCACTCTGCCACATAATTCATAGCGCGGGGAACAAGATAGAATTATTACTCTAACAGGGAAAACGGCATAGATATCAAATCATTATAGCAGTGAATAAAATTTTAATTGTGTTCCATATAATCGCCAAAATTAACCTCGCACTTTGTCAAAATATATATATCTTAAGTAGACTACGCAAATAAAAGGCGCTCTTGAACTTAATTTTTGTAGCCAAAAAACAGACTTTTAGACATATTCATTTGTAAAAAAGGACTCTTTAAATTTTTAATTTTAAAGTATTTTGGTGCATTTTATAAAATGAATATCGAGGAACAAATTTTGCTCTTAATATTGTCACAGAGTGACATAGCGATTAGCGTAAAGCCAAGTATTGGCGCCCTGTCAGCAGTACACTGCCTTCTGACAGATACAAGTTTCGCCAGCTGTGCAGTTGGACAGAGGTCGGGTCACCAAGCAGGCACCATCAGGGAGTCGTACAGCGCATAGTCGTCGCCTTACGCCTCACCGCTGAGCAGTTGGACGAGAGTGTCCGACGAGACGCCATCAACCAGACAATATGGTCGTCATCCCTGTAAAGTTGTAAACCCAAATGGACAGTCACCTACGAGTCACCCAGAGCAAGTGTGTCAGACAGAGGCCTCGTGACAATATGAACTTCGCGTGGGAATGCGAAAATTCGCTCAGCGTAATTGTGGACGCCTACTAGGCTGTTAATGGCGTTATGCGATCAGCAACTTCTATATTTTTTTATCTCGAGACATCTAAAAATCCAAAAAATTAATTTCTTATGCAAAAATCACTCAGTCAAAATGACTCAAAATACTTCAATGGCAATTAAATTTAAAAAAAAAAAATGAATTTTTATTTGTTATAAATATTCATTTGTAAAAAATCTACAACAGTTATACAACGAAAATGTGTCGTGTGCAATAGACTAAAATTTCCAATTGTTGGAAAATTCCAACAATTTTTTAACAATGAAAAATTTTTGAAGAAACATTTTAAATAATTAATTAATGGGAAAAATCAACATTTATTCATGAGTGAGAGTTAAAAAAGTTGTAAAGATTATAGAAATTTATGAAACATTGTTGAGAAAAATAATAATACCCAACAATTTTTTCCATCACCATCTATTGCAAGCAACATTGTCTCAAATTATTTATCCTCGTAGATTGCTTTGTGGGCCACCGGCCACCCTCGAACATAAATAATCATAAATAATAATACAGGGCGCAGCTCATCCATCACTTTTAAGCCGTCTTCCAATTTGGCCATCGGCCACACAAAGCCTGCAGCCACTGGCTCTAATCTAGTCACCCCTAATTGCCCTTGCAACAACACGATTTCGAGTGATCTCATTGATTTGTTCCTTCACCAGTCTGGACACAAGAAACCCTTAAAAAGGTAAAGTGAGCAGTCAAAAAGATTTGGAGCAAATCTGTTTAATTGTATTTTATTAATAATATTTTAAAACTGTATTGAAATATTATACAACGTAATATTATTAAGTATTAAAAATATTATAAAATTTGATTTATTTTTGCTTTTTTTTAATATGTGATATTAAAAATTTTAATCGAATTATGAATATACTGTACTATAAATTTTAATATTATATAAAATATTTATAATAATATTTTCAATACTTATTAATTTTTTTATGATAAATTTCCTGCCAATTTCTTCGTGATTAAGAGAATTTTATAAATTGAAACAATAAAATACTTTTTTGTAGGTTTTCTTTTCCTTAACTGAAGTTAAAAGACATTCTTTGATTCCTATTTATTTAAAAAAAGACAGAATTTGTTTCTAAAAAGAAAACAAGAAGAAAACTTTAACCAATAATTTTACATTAAATTTATATTTTAAATTTATCAATGGATATTAATAATTGTTTTCCTTTGCTAGTTGGTGATTTTTGCGCCACCGGCAACAGCGGCAGAACCAGAAGTGAGGGAAGTGCTGAACAGGGAGCCTAGTAGTACTCCAGCTACAACAAGCAGCGACAGGAGCAAAAGGAATCAAACCCCTACTCCCTACGACAAGATCAAACCTGTTGTCAACGGCGCGAACATCACACAACTTCGCCATTTTTTACGTCATTGGTCATTGCCCTGCGCGTCAGTAAGGAGATTGGCCTTTGGCATCCCTTTGAGCTTTGAGTCAAAAATAGACAAGGAATTAAATCCAAAAAGCGACGAGCTCTAAGTGAAAGGTAATAACAAAAAATAATCCAGGTATGCCGATAGTTAATTGTTTGTTCAATACAGAAAAAGTATGGAGGAGCACCCTGACAGAGCAGCCGCCGCGGCAGCAACTTTTAATATGGATGGACCTCTTATCATTAGTGACTGTGGCGGCCACACCATCGAGGATGACGAAACCATGGAGGAGTTTTTAATCGCCCTTCTAACCAGTGAGAGTGAAGTCCTTCAAAGCCATGGTGAAGTAAGTACTATGTGCTATTATGAATAAAATATAACTTTTAAGTGTAAGCTTAAGAAAATTCATGAGAAACTTTTATGTATTGATCATTTTTTCGTTATGTATTTAAATCCTTTATTTTTTAAATTACAAATATCATAATAATGTGTTAATGCCTGATTTTGTTGTGTTTTCCAGATAATTTTCACCCAGTCTTCACTGTTGATTCAAAAAGAAGTGTCGATGGACAAAATGATCTTTAATTGTCAGCTTCCACTCATTGTACGAATTAAAGGCGTTTCAATGCTGAGAAAAACATTGAATTCCATTGATTACACCAAAGTAGGTTTTTTTTTACATAATATAGTTGTATTTATTATTATTTTAATTAACTATAAATGCATTATTTAAATTTTTAAATCTCGTCAGATGTCATCCGAGCAGAGAGACTTGCTGCAAATGGAGATGAATAAACTTTTAGAAGGTCAGCTGCAAGATGAGCCCCAACTTTTGATTGAGGTTCTACTAATGATGCAAGAATTCTACAAAAATTTCAAAGAAACGACAAGCCAATACCACGATGGCGGATTAACTTTCATCACTAACATTGTGAAAATGTCGTTCACCTTGCCTGTTTACTTGCACGATGATCGCTTCTTCCATTTGCTGAAGTAATTCAATATAAGCATTTAAGATTCATAAATTTAAATTTTTTCAATTGCATTAGTTAAAAAGTTATATATTTCATGCTTTTCAATGGTAAATTTATATAATTTTTTAAGGACCGAATCTCATTTGGTGATGAAGCATTGGAACAAATTGCAAAAGTTTTTCGTTGAAGCTGTAAAGACCAATGCTGACAATGTATGTATTAATATAAGGTTTTTTAAATCTTCTATAGCTGAACCTGGCTGAACCTGAACTTTTTTCAATTTTTCAGTGTAAGTCAAACTGTATCACTCAGATGAAAATCGCCTTGTTTATGCTGGAGAGCAGAGTTGACCTCGGAAATGACAGTGTCATCGTGGACCTTCTTAAAATTGCAACACCTATTTTTCTTGAGACGTACATGAGTTTGGAAGACGCCTCTTTAATTCATTCAATATGTGATTGCCTCAAAAACATCAGTCAAAAAGATCAATCATTTCTGGATTCAAACAAGGAATCAATCATGTACCTTGGTGTTCTGCAGGTTAGTTTGTTGCTTACTTTTCTTTATAACTGATTATTTATTTTAAATGTATGATATAAAAGTACAAATTTGAAAAAATTTAAACCACACTAAATTAAAAATACGATTTTCAAAGGTCACTGCTTCTGGAACAAGTACGGGAAAAATTGAACAAGGCCTAGACTTGCTGCTCCTTGTGCTGACCCGTAGCGACAGAAACAAAACTATTAGCAAAATGATTTTGAAGCAAAAGTCCTTGCTGGAAAAATTTGTGCTCCAATTAAAAACTCTGCGATTTGGAAACAGTCAATTAAGCAGGAAGGCAGTCGTTGTTTTTTGGTAAGGACCTATTTTTAAACATGCACGTGCTCTTTGAAAATTTAGTATATGAGCCTTACTGATTATAGTATTAACCCCTCAATATAAAAACATTAAAGCGTGCAGAACACACTTCAATCTCAAATTTTTCAGGCAAGTTGAAAACACCATCCAAAATCTTTTGGCAAGCCAGGACAAATTTGCAGTAGTGTCAGTGTCAACCCTCCAAAGCTTGATGGCCCTCTTGAACAGCACATTGCACGAAGACAAAATAAAACAGGTTAGTGTGGCTTTTTTATGGTAATAAATAATGTAGCTTTGGTTAATATGCACATGACAATAAGAGTGTGTTCGACAATAATATGCTAAATAATTTTTCTGCTTTTTGCAGGACGTGTCAGTGATTGGCAAGTTGACCAAGAAAATTATAAGTTGCATACCAAATGAAGCAAGCGGAAGTAATGTGAGCAATTATCTTATTCACTTTTTTTTCATTTACATTATTGATCCTATCTAAGCTCATGGCCACTTCATTATTTCTTCTTGTCACATTCGGCGAGTTGAAATAGAATTTTATAATATTTATAGAATTTATTTACGACCTTTTTTGTTTAGTTGGCCAATGATGTGACAAAAGAAGCACCATCAAATCCTTTGGCAGATGTTTCCGAAGCATCTATGGAAACAAATAGCGAGGACCAGCGTCATGAAAGCTATGTTGATGATGGTCATGGAGAAACGGATAATCTAGAATACGAAGAAAATGTTAGTGATCGAGAGCAGTTATAATTATTATTATTTTCTAAAAGCACTCTCAGCTTATTACATTTTCACAGCTCTTTCTATGTTTAATTACTTCCAACTGAAATAGTCACTCTTAAATATCATTGAATTTATTATATTATGTATGCTAGATTGTTAGTAATGAAAATGTTTTATGTGAGCAGGATGAGCCTGCAAATAAAAGGACGAAGCCGACGCTCACTAATAAAATGGTTGTCTATGACTCTCGTAAGTTTTAAATTTTCTAAAAAATCATTTTCATATTATTTTGCATTAACATAATTCTTATTCACAGAAAAAAAGCATAGTTACATCGTATCCTTGGACGAAAACAGAAACAGTTACTACTGTGATGACTGCGGAACCGGCTACACAACCAGAAGAAATCTTTACCAACACATCAAGATGAGACACTTTCCCAGTTTTGTCCGAGGCTTTACTACGTGGCCTAGGGATTACGGAGAACCCAAAATTGGCAGCTCTTACATCATTGATGGAGGTATTTTTCTTTTCCAAAATTTTTTTTCTTTTTCTTACATCTTTTTGGTATGTTTTACAGAAGAAATTTACCTTAAGAGTGTCTATGACACTAGAATTAAATTTCATGTTCCTGATGTTCCTAAAAATGTTGAAGAGAGTGCCTCGACCTCATTTAAAACAATGCTTGAATTCTGGAACCATGACGCAGATAAAGACAAAACGTCAAATGAACAGAGCCTAAAAGCTATGCTAACTGCACCACCAGTATTTGTACCCACAGAAAATCAAAACCAGGAAGAGGACGAAGAGGATTTGAAGCTTCTTTTAAACCTCCACGTGAAAGGAAAGACACCCCTGCAGGTGGAGGTGGTGGACTTGTGTAGTTCGGGGGGTTTCTTTCAAACTTTGCAGAAAGGTGCCAACATCAAAATCACGTCAGGAGTCTACCTTGTGCTAAGTCAGGAGTTGGTGAACAAAATCCTAAACCCAGTGGAATCGGCAAAGAAGGCGTTTGACGAGTTAAAAAATTTTTTTGCCTCAGAAAATAGAGAGTTTGATAATGTAGAGAAAAGAGCAGGACAAGAAGTCTTTGACGACAAGCAGGCAGTCAAGTTTCTGAGTGGTGGTCTACTTATTGTTAAGTTAAGGTTGAACGAAATCTATGTGTTGGTTAACTTTAGCCTGGTTGCTTATACCGTAATTTGCGTTATTGGAAAACTTAGTCAGTTTGTCAAAAGCTACCTAGGAATATAGATTTATAGAATGAACTGTAAATAAAATTAAAAAAATTCCAAATAAGGTATTTTAATTTGTTTAAATTTATCATCTGTTTGAATAAAATGACTCTCAAGGAGATAATCATGGAAATGAAGAGATCGTGCTTTTCCTTGTCGCAGAAATTGTTTTTATTCGATGAGCTGTTTGTTTTTAAATAAAAAACAATTTCTGCTACAAGGAAAACCCTGACCTCTTCAATTCTATAAAAAAAAAAATCATTTTATAATCATGTTTGGAAAAGGTCAAATTAGCAATAAATTGTACTTTTTTTTTAAAATATAATTTCAATTTATTAGATCTCTTACTTTATTTATTTACAAGGAGCTCTCCATAGGTTCTCGTTCTTTTACCTCCAAATATCTGCACTTGGCGCTCTGCAGCTCTCTTCAAACCTCGGCACTGATGTTTGGTTTGGCTCCTCAGTAATTCAAGGAGTCCTTTTTTCTGCTCAGAGCTGATGTCACCTTTGTACCTCTGAACAGAAGTGAGCAAAGACTGGTGCTACAAACTGGCAATTATCGAGAATCCCTTGAAAACCTGCATCATTTTTTTTTATTAAATTAAATTTCAAATCACATCTCAACACTACCTTAAGAAGTGAAACACTAGGGAATCAATCACTCTGTACGGCAGGGCGTATTTCTTGTCGAGCAGAATCCTTATGAAAACGGACGTCGTTCCCGTGTACTCCATTTCTGCAAGCTTCAGCATGGCAGCGGCCGAATGGAGAAGAGGGATGGAATTCCGGGCCAAAACTGATCCCACGATAATAGCCTCTCGGAGGGTGCATGTTCCACTCTATTGGATTTTTTTTTTTTTTAATTACAACCTAAAGCAGATAACGTGGTCTACACACCTCGCACATGGGAATGAGCATTCCCTTCATAAAAGCGCCTGGTTTGAAAAGTGCCTTTCGTAGGGCCTGATACAAATGGAAGTTGAGTCGTTTGTATTCGCTAATGTCGTCTCGAACACGGGGAAGAAGAACCAAGTTGTAGAATCGCTGGGTCATTTTCTCAGTTAGATTCGAGGCAAAAATTCTTGTAGCTTGATACATGGCAGAAGCGCTCCACCTTTCTGGATCTGCACATAAAATGAATAGCAATTTATACGAATTAACTTCCAAATACGAACTTGTCAAGTATAGAATTTGCTCCCAGTTCTTGAGATTGGGAATCACTTTGAATGCCTTTGGCAGTTTTCCACTTCTGTATTTGGACAGGACCTCTCCAACACTTTGGTACATTTCCCTCACTCTTGGGTTTATGTCTTGCAGTTGAAGAGCTGAGAATTTTATAAATCATTTACTTAAAACTTGAAGCGTAATTGATTGACAAACCTCCTGCGTCCGAACACTGCGATTTCAATTCAGTTTGCTTCTCATTTATCTTGACCATAATTATGTCAGCCAGGGTTCTCTGAGGCACTGCACTCTTGTTCAAAAACATGTCCATCACTCTCTCCTCTTCCTCGTCAACCTCCTGTCAATATCAGAGCAAGTGATTAATTAATTTGTACATATAAACAATACGTCATGGCATACAATTTTGTCACAAAAGTCGTCCCCCTGCAAATCATCTTCACTCTCGTCGTACTCTTCAACTTCAAATTGTCCTAAACTTGTGTCCAAAGGGCCTGGTGGCTCGTCTTTTTCAACGCCTTCCTCCTCTCGTTTTTGACGCATCGCTTGTCCCAAAATTTTTTTGGACAACGAGGAGTCGACGAACTGAAATTCGAGATAAATTTAATTATATTCTTGGTGTTAAACTTGCATTTTATTTGCATCAAAAAATTAGAAAGTTTGTTGTTATGTATTAAAAAAAGAAAAATATGATCTAACCTCATCGTCGTCATCTTGACGAGGCCGCTTTGTTTTCACTCTTCCTCGAGGTTTGGCAAATTTATCGTCATCTAGCTGAGTCTCTAAATCTGATCTGCGCGTTTCGCTTTTGGAAACTTTGATTTTCTTTGCTTTTCCCATAGCAAAATATTTTGAAAACACAGAACGACGGTGCTCACGTGCAAAAATACAGAAGAAGGAAGAAGGCGGCGGTCTGCCATGTGCTTCACAGACTCGAGTAATTAAAAGGAGTTGCATTCGTGTAATGAATTTTGCCAGATATCACTGGAAAACGCTTCTAATTAAAACTCAATGTCTCAAAATTGCTACTTAAAAGCTATTATGGATGTATTTCTACATACGCTACGCAAGAAATAATAGAGACATAAAGTCAAAATTGTACATGTATGCGAAACTCCTTTACATACACTCCACATAACTATTTCAAATTTATCCGGCAAACCAACACGGCAAACGGTGCTGATCAACGTGCTGATTGACTATGTTGAACTTTATTACCAATAATGAATAGAATAATGGGAATAATGCAAAATGCCTATTATTAAATACTTCGGCTCCTTCAACCACATGCGAAAAAAAACGCAAAAATATTCATTATCTTTGCTTATAATTGGAAAAAAGGATGATCACTAAATTATTTCCAAGATTGGGTAATTTTACTTATTTTTAGTTTTTGCTGTATTAAATAAATTTTATAAAAAAATCAGTTGTTGAAAATCAATATAACTTACTGTTTTTTTTTTTTTTAAATTTTTTCTTTGCAATGAGAACACCCGGTTTCTATTTTTCATATTTTAGCACTATTGTGAATCTTGAGTTATTCAATAATTTACAATTTATTTAACTTCACGGTGGGTTAATATTTTCAAAATAATATTTAAAACGATTTATTAACAAGTATAGATTTGAAAGGAAAAATGAGCAATAATAGACTTGAAATATTATTAGTTTTATTTTGCAGTTTTGTTTGGCTTTATGTACAAGCTAAAATTGATTAGATTATCCATTACTTAATATTTTTCTGAAAAACAACAGATCAACTGTTGATCGCAAGCATGTGTCAAAATACAAAAAGACAGTTATACACAAATTATATGCTTGCGATTCCACGACAGCTTTCATCAAATTTGCAGTTAGTTGTTAACCCTTTCATAGCAAATGACTGCAATAAGAAGCCTCGAATTTAACAAAAATAAATTCTTGAGGCTTGTCTGGAGTCCACGACAAAGAAGTAAACACCTCCCAAAGAAAAAAAAAAACACTGTACACTTTCACGAGCTCAATAGAATGTACATACTTTTCTCAATTAATTATTAATTACCATCATTTTCAACAACAGATCGCAAATAATTACAAATAAATTGGATAGCAGGGGGAAAATTGAGCAAATTATCACTCATGTACTAATCAAAAATACACAACGTCTAATGAAAAAAGCAAGGTGGAAAGCAAACCGTTTGCATTGACTGATTTTCTAAGTGATTTTTTCCCTTCCATGAATCCATTCCACATGAAATGCTAGTTGAGAATCGTCCAACAACAATAGTAGTAGTTGCTGTTTTGTAATAATTATAGCGCAGTGTATCCAGCAGGAGAAAGAGAAGTATGTACCGTTAATAAATAAACTACGTTTGTTTGTGTCTGTAACAAAAGGGTCCATCTTTGGCAATCAAGACTGAGACAGTGAAGCGTACGTGGCACTCATTCATACTACATACAGTCACTTGGCAGCAGCAACAACGGTGACAGACAGAATCAAAATTAACTCCTGCCCACTTCAACTAGAAAGTAACACCTTATTGCATCACTCAAGCCACGGTCCTCGATTATCCGGGAGGCGGCATTGCTTCTGGCTCGCTTAGAGTTATCTCAATTGTTGGGCTTTGGGGAGCGACGACTGTATCCACTGCAGGCAGACTTGGTGGAGAAATTTCAACAACCTGCTGCAAATTTGTTGTCGGTGATGGCAATAGGGTGGTCGTCTCAAGGGGCACTTCCACTTCCCTGACGATACAGAATTATGAAACAATTAATGAAGATTTTCTTAATAAAAAACTTAATTCTTACCTGGCCATAACGGGACTTTGCTGGGGTGTGTTAGTAGTGTTTGACGTGTTTGTCTCAATCTCTTCACCCTGCTCATTCTTCGCCTTCGCCTTTTTCCTGATGGTGCTGACCTCATTCACTTCGACGTCCGCTAAGCAGAAGGCTGTAGGCGTCTTGTTTACGGACCACTTGCAAGAGTCGAGTTTGTTTGGTGTGAAAGCTTGCATGCCCAGGACCAAGGGGGGAGCTCCAGGAATATTTCCTGGAATCGCCATTATGTTCCGCGCAGGGTGCACAACTGCACTTTGTGTTGCAGGTGCCTCGTCGGCCACAGGCGGTGAACTTTCACCCTCCTCTGACATGACTTCTGATTCTTGTTCCTGGTTTGTCTGCAAGTATTAAAAAGTCATAAGTATTTTCTTTATAAACTTGGCGAGTGAACCTACCATTTCTGGGCAGAGTTCCAAAGCCTTCTCAAGTGTTTTCCGGGCCGAATTTGATCTTTCCAAGAAGTATCCGTTGGTGGTGTCATTTGACTGTGCAGGCGGAGACCAGTTGTAAGAATACTGCGAGTTTGTTGGATAGGGTCGCTGAAAAAATTGAATATTGTTAAAGATCTTCGGTTATTTTTTTATTTGAACTTACTCTCTCAAGCTCATCCTGCAACCAGTCTACAGCTTGCACCCAGCGTCTCTTGATGTCGGGATTGGTGGTGAGAAGAGCACTGGCGTTGCGACACTTGTAGAACAGACTAACCAGCAGTTTGATGCACTGGTACGCGCGTTTCTGATAGTTGCCCTTTGACCTGGTGATAGTTTCAAACAGGCCTTCTCGTTCCTCAGGCACTCCTTTGAGAGCATTGTGGATTCGATGCGACTGCCACGAGTCCTCAATTAGCAACACAGCCAGCAGAAGTTCCATGTGGTGACGAAGCTCGTGACAATAGGCAAATGCCACTTGCCACAGCAGCTCCGTCAGCACTATCCTCGAGAAGTGGGGGTTCTCCCAGCTGCAGAATTGCAGAAGTTTGACTGTGTCTTCGCTGGGCGTATTGTCTTCAATCAACTTCTTCACATAGCTGCAAATAATTTATATTTAGTGTAAAAGAATAAAAAAAGTTCATTAATGAATGAATACCTAGTTCTTCCATACAAGAGCTCAGAAACTTGGCTTTGGATTGGCATTAGATAGTCAGGGCACTGGGGTTCGTAATATGGGTTTGGCAAAACAGGCATATTCTGCAAAATCAAAACAAGTGTGAGTCTATTGTTCAAGGATGGATAAAAATTGTATGTACCTGTTGTGAGGACGAGCACTTTAAGGAAACATCACAGCAACGGATAAGAAGTGACACCACTTGATGCAGCTTTGTCAACTCTGGGTATTGGTATTTGATCGCAGGTCCAGGACCCTCATCGACAGCAACACACATAAAGAGGTATGGTACGTTCAGCTGGAAAACATTTTTATTCTAAACAAGTTCCAAAAATAAGCAAAATTGTTACCTTTAGCAACTGCGACCTTTCCACCAAGCCTTGCATGGCGTAGTTGTGGAAAAGCGAGAAGTAGTGTGGTAGCTGCCGTCCATGATCAGCCACCTCCCTATGAAGAAGCAGCAACACTGCATGCAAGAGGTGGTCGCTGAGTGATGCATTTGGATCGACTAGACCTGCTGTTGCTGGATTGTAAGGTAAGAAAACATTCACATGAAATTGAAAGTTTATATTACTGGCGCTTGTGATCAGTGGTGATGGGCAAGGGCCGTCCTGATTAGAGCAATGTGCCAAGACAACGATGATTTTGATAAATGCAGACCTCACTTCAGGACTTGGGCAACTCAGCAGATACTCGGAAAACCTATTTAAATCGATTATTCCATGATTCAAATTTTACAAATAGACAAATTATGTACCTGTGAGGGTGATTGAAAAGAACATTGTGTGCAAACCAGTGGCGCACTTTCTTCGAGTATCGCAGATGAGCCCAGATTGCATCATACCAGTCCATGGCAGGACCTCTAAGTGTTTTCTTGGTGTGGAAGCCTGTGTGAAACAGGAAGCGAGCAGCCAGCTGCACACTGAGCAGACTTAAATCTTCATTCTCAGGAGACTGAAGAATTTACACAATTACAATCAACAGTTGTAAAATATCAAATTATCCTTCACCATTTGTTCATTCAAGTTGGGTGGTGGACTGTTGCATGTGATCAACTTCCGCATGAACTGGAAGTACTCTGTGCAAAATTGGTTCCGGTTATGCATGAACTGGATGTTTTGACGCCGCACACTGCGTTCAATCGCTTGAGGCATTTTCAGCATGCCCATTTTGGTATCTGTGGATTTTCAAGTTATAGATAAGCCAATTTCAAGAATCAGGAGAAACACGTACACAAGGAAAGTTCATTAATGCTGCGTGTCAAATTGTCCACTTCAACGTCTTGTCTTGTGTAAAACAGCATGTAAGCATTCCACCAGCGCTTCTGACGCCGGTAGCTCATTCTCTTCAGCATGTGGTCAAACACTTCTCCCATGTATTCCCCACCAAAGCACTGTGACTTCATTTCTTCAGGATCGTCCATTTTGCACTCGGTGACGTCTCCATCATCGAATTTGTACCATTTAGCTGTTCCATCAGCTTGCCTGTCAATGAAAATATTGAACAATTTTCATAAGTCTGTGAAGCGTGGACAAACCTGTGGAGTATGTAAGAATAGTAGTGGCCTCCGCTGGCCTGTCCAGAATGGACCACAATTCCTGAGAGCTGGTATTTGGTGCACATTTCTCTAGGCTGACTACTGTCTCCAGGTGGATAGTCACATTCTATCACTTCTCCTTCAAGTTTAGCTAGGCCGCTCACTAAAATAGCAGTTAGATATTTGTGGTCTTTTTAAAAGAATATTAATACCAGTGTAAGGTTCCATATCTAAGTCTCGAGGAAATTCAAAGTAATCATTGAATTTGATGGCACAGACTCTCTCGTAATCATATTCAAATCTCTTCAATTGGATAGCAAGGATGGGAGGAAGTTTCTTCACGCACAGTCTTTTAACAGTCACCACCTATTATAAAGAAAAAAAAATTATTTAATGTTAAATGCAAGACATATTAAAATTACCTTAGCATTGCACTTCTCACAGTGATAAGCGTCGGCGCCTTCCAAGAGCTCCCCTTTGACATACTGTTCGAGGGAGTCAACCAAATTGCTATGGTTGCGGATGTCAACAGAGATCACACTGAAAGGCTCTTCCTTTGAGTAGCGGTGGGGACATCCTTTGCAGATTTTCTGATCTGAGAATGAGCCACCCAGAACCTTGCTCATGACTTGTTCTTGCCTCAGAGCCTTGAAAGCTTCATCCAAACTCTCAACTAAACTCATGAAAAATTCAACAGCGTCCTGCTGCTCTCTCAAATTAACAGGTTCTCCTTGCAGCCTGAAGAAAAAATTTATCAATCACATCACTTTTATGAATTACTATTTACTTGAAATGCTTCCACAGTCCTCTAGGAACGTAAAACTGAAGTTTGCTATAAGCCAGGTGGCCGAAAATGGCCTGAACTTGCTTTAAAATGCTGACGTTATATTCCTTCCGAGACTCCTCCAGATCTCCTTTGTCAGAATCATTTTCAGCTTCCAAGCAACCCTGCTGCAATAACAAGTAAGTACCACTCAATAACAAGGTAAAAAAGTACTAACTTCTCCTTCTATTCTGTCTTCTCCGCTGAAATCTTCGTTAATGTCAGTCGCAGCTCCCTCGGCTGCCAAGAGACCAACTCTGATGCTCTCTACCATGTACAACTGCTGCAAAACCGAGTTCATGTAGCACGTAGCACCTGCATTTTTCAGTCCCACAAAACCATGAGTTGGTCTTGGGCCGACGGGAGGCATGTAATCCCATTCAGTCAGAGGCTCTTCGCGTTCTAAAAATAAATTTTAAGCATCATTTTTGATAATTTTCCTTTTTTAATGTGTTAATTACCAGAGTAAAACATTTCAGTAAGCATGTTGACCAGCAGCTTCATGTTTGGAACACAACCAACACTGAGTGACACAAGCAACTCAAACGCTGCAGTCACAGTTGAGGGAGACTGGCAGACAGGCACTGCTGTTTCCATTGGCAAATCTCCAGTTTGCCAAAGCTGCGCCATCAAATGTGAGGCAGGAAAAACAAAGTCTTCAACAACTTCCTGTTGATAATGAAATTTCAACGCATGAGATTCAGATGTGCGATTGAAAAATTAAGGACTAACCTTAATCAGGTTGCCACTTTTACAGCCAAGTTCGAATTTCTTGTCAGGCTTGACAAATGAGAAGAGTTCCCTTGCTAATCCCAGGTGTCCCTCTAATACTGCATCGTCATATTTGGTGTCTCCACTTTCTTTCACATTTTCCCTGACTTGCTTCAGCCAAGCTATCTCATTGTTGAGTAGAGTCTCGGCAGTGGGCAGAGGACAGTTGGAAACAAAGGCAAAGTTTAGTAGTCGGCAGAGAAGCTACAATAAAAAGCAATAAGAAGTTAAAACATGATTTGAAATTATTATGTATACCTGGAAGTATTCATGTGATTGATCAGCGTGCTCCAGCACTGTGGTGTTAAGGACAGTGAAGAGAAGTGTGATACAAAACTGGAGCGGTTGTTGGTTGCCTGTGCACCACGTAGAAATCAACAGAAATTGTTCACTAGCAGCCAATCGAATGGCTCTGCTTGGGCTCAAAAGCAGCAAATCAATGATAAATGTGTGCCAGTTTTTGTCTCTGATGAGAACATCAATGCAGTGAGGGTGGAGCATCAATTCCACTGTTAGCGTCTCCAAAGCCTCTCGGCACACTAAAATTGAGGTTATAAAATTCAGAGCAACGTATTTTTTAAAATGCAATACCCATAAAGTCATCGTAGCCTACACCTTGTGTATCAGTCTGTTGGGGGATTGATGCAATCTCCATTTGTTTGGCATGTAGCTGATCGAGAGAGCCGTGAACAAGTTGCAGATTTCCCGAGCTAGCAGCCCAAGCTAGACGCATTGTCGCCTTGATGGTTGTAATGTCAGGCAGACGCCAAAGTGCTCCTTGTGAAAATTGAGGAAGTTTCCACAAAGCATTTCCAACCTCCGTTCCTTGCAACATCTGAGGGTAAAATTGTTTAGAAGCTGAGATTTTAAGTCATAAAAATTCAACATGCCTGTTGAGCTAAAGCTTGTGCCAGTTTATTGGCCACCTGTCTCATTGTGTACTCAGAACTTTGATGAGGCACAGACTGAAGGGCAGCCCGAAGAACTGCAACCATTTTGCTCCTCATCGTTGTTCCCGTCATGTTGCCTATTGAAGGAGCATCACTTGCCGTAGGAGACGGCAAACTTTGGGCAGAAATCCTGTTGTCGTCTAGAACGTGGGCCATGACGTGTCCCACTATGGTCAAGATCATCTTTGCGATTCGCAAAACTTGAAGATACGCTTGCCGCTTGGTTGCCAAGTCAGCGTTAGTCAGGAAATTTGGGTCCTTCATCATGTCCAGTAGGATCTGAGCTTTCTCGGACCTTATGACAGCAACTTGAAATTCAAAAGCTCTGTCGGACAAGGGATCTTGTGCAGGCATCATTAATGAGTACATGACCTTTAAAAAATATATGATTATGCTATGCAATTATTAGCATAAATAATGGTATACCTGCAAATAATACAGTGCCTGCGATGGAGAAGAAGAGAAAAACAGGCTGTCCATTGTAGGTGGGGATTTCTCTGTTGTTGGAGATACCACTTCTCCATTGACTTCTGTTGGTGTGTGACCTGTAGAATTGACCGAAAAGGTCAGGTGTAGTTGCTGGATTGTGTGAGTATCAGCAGGCATAAGTTGGAGTATACTGCGGGCTGTTTCTCTTAGAGACGAATGGCCCAAAGCCGAGCCTAAATCAGCCAGTTGGAAGAAGAACTGGGCAAACTGTGATTGTATTGCCATTAACTAAAATAGAAAAATTAGCTAGAAAACATTTTGGATTCTTTATACAACAAATTACCACTCCAGGCAGGGTGTTCTCAGCTTCCGATGAGGCACGGAACTCGGCATGATGTGGTGACGAAGTTGAAGAATCTGAGCTGGTATCTGGGCTGCTGGGCATGTTTGAGGACTGCTGACATAGCTTCCCATTCAATACCTATAGCAATTTTCATTATAAAAAAACTGACATGAGCAAAAATAAATAAATTACCGTTTTGTCTCTCAGGGGGATGTGTGACAAGAGCTTGCGATCATCTGCTGTATCCAGCAGTTCCCCGTTCAGGAAGAGGTCCAGTTTAACTGACGTGGGAGAAGCTTTAATGCGTCGGAGAACCTGCCTACGTAAAGCGCCTAGGGTATCGTTTCCATGTGTTGACACTTCTACATCATCTAATGGTCTACCAGGATTAGCAAAACGGACTAGCAATGCCAAGTGTTTTCCACGATATGCCCTGGATAAAATAATAAATACTTCTATTTCCTTGTCTATTATGCAACTCACCGTCTCAAAGGGAGGATCTTCCTATCACCCATAAAGTCACAGTCACATTCCGACATATACTCGTGAAGCACGTTCATGACTCTGCAAAGCTTGTTTGCCTCTCCCAGAACCTCTACTCTCCTTGAGGCCGGAGAGCCAGGCACACCATCACTGCCAGAGTCCATATCACGTCGAAGGAGCGATACAGTATCAAAGTGCGCCCTCAGACGATCCATGCATTCCGAGATGAAGTTCTCGTGAAAGGCCAGAATGTTGGCTTGCAATTGGGGGCCCAAATTAGTGTTCACTTCCTTTAATAAATTAATTGCTCTGTGTGCAATCTCCTCCCCGCTACTAGTAACAACCTGCAATGGTAAAATATGTGTGTTGTACAATTCAATAACAAAACACAATGTGACTCGACTCACTTTCCAAATGTAGTCGGTCCCAATCAGATCAACGTCTTCCATGAGGAAGTTTCTACGCTTAGCTTTCAGTTTTCCCTCTCTTGTGTTAACAGCCTTGAAGAATCTCTCAAAACACCTCATGCCACTCTCCGTGAGCAGGGCAGGGTCAAGTTGGAGAACGTTGTTTTCAAAGAATTGACGGTTAAACGAAGGGTCCAGATCAGGCTCGTCGCCCATTAATTTAGAAAACCACTTAAAACACGCCTCCCTGTCAGAAGGAAAAGCAGCGCTTTCTGCTAATGTCTGCCATATTTGTTTTGCTTGCTCTGCACACAACCATAATTGCCCATCCTGAGATTAGAAAACGAATTATTCCAAATTCCTCAAAAAATTAAATCGAGTAGTACCTTCAGTAGAAAACGTAAAAAGTTAAGTCTCTCTTGAATTTGCTGTGGGTGATTATATCGGCCGTCTGGGAAATATTGGACTGGATCTAATTTTGGATTGTCTGAAATTCAATTTATAGGTTTTGACATGGTGGTGAAGACTTGCAAATTATTTACTCACCGACTAGAAGACTGCGAACAAAGTCCATATAATCTACCAGGTTGTTGGTCACGAGGACCACTAAGCTATGTGTGTCTTGCAATTTTTCTATCACTTCTTGACGGTGACTGGAGACATTGTGACCCACCCCAGTTGTCCTCTGGGCATGCCCACCATGATTCATTGCTGGAGGTGGTTCGTACAAGCAGCAAATTTCACGAATTTGCTTCAGTGCTGGTAACACCCACTTTCCGCTTTTCAGCTCGTCAACACATTTGTCCAGCCACACTGCTTTCTGAGCATCTCGTTCCTAACAATGGATTGTATTGAAACCTCAGACACATTAAAAACAAAAGAAAATCAAACCTGAGAGCAACTATAATCTAAAATCTTGACATGGGCATTTAAAGCTTGGTCCATGATTTCGGTAGGCACATCTTCTGAATGAGCCAAGTTCCAGAACAGCATTAACACTTTATGAGCCATGACACCACCCTTGTCGTCTTCAGCCAGTCTACGAATCAGTTCTAGCAGTTTCTCCCTTTGCTTTTTGTTGGCATTAGTCCATGACGACTACAAAAAAATTTTTTAATATGATTAAATTTTTTTAACTCTGGTATTACTTGAAAGCACTCAAACAGGTGATCTAATTGCTCTGGGGAGAAATCCCAAGCCAATTTGGCTAAGAGATCGTGCAAGTTTTTCACTATGGCTTCGTGTTTTCCAGCCTGCGCAGCCCAAATGTTATCCAGGTCTTCCAGGGTCAGTGCCTTCTCCTTGATGACGAATCGCAAGATTTTCTCTAACTTTTCCACATACTGCGGCTGATGCAACGAGTCCCTGAGAACTATCTGTAGAACTTTGTGTTCTTTAAGCCATTTCTGGAGAGAGAAAAACAATAATGTTATTTCTTTCATCAAGTAATTCTGTTGAGATATTTACAGCCATTCTTTCAGCAGTGAGCCATTCTTCGTCATCTGGACCTCGATGAGCGTGAGGGTAATAAGAAACACTTGTGATAACTTTGTTAACTTCATTGAGAGCATTCATTTTGCCGTTGAATGATGAAATTTGCAGCAGTCTGGAAAGTTAGAGCATAAAAACTCAGATTCCACAAAAAATAAAGAAAAAAATACCTGAGGATCATTTTCAGCCTAAATATTTCCAAATCTTTGAGAGTCTCCTCTTGACGAGGCACTCTGGACACCAGACATTTGCAAGCTTTCAGAATAGCAGAAATTGCATCATTCTTTGCCTCCTTCTTAAGCTCATCATCCGTCAATTGGTCAAGTAATGCAGGCACCACTTCCTAATTTTTTTTTTAAATTTACGAGTTTATTATTGATATTATATGCAGCTTAAAACAAGTCTTACCATAATAGGCATGATATAAGTTGTGACAGTATGGACTGTGAGGAACTCGTAACAGAGACCAAAAGGGCGCAAAAGGGCATGAATCACAGGCACTGTTAATCCTTGGCCAGTCTGAAATCTTTCCAAAAGAGCTTGGAACCCTCCCAACTTGCCAAACCTAAATAAAGTAAAATTAGTAAAAAAATTAGCCTGATTGTATTATATTTAAACGTACTTGTTTATTAAGTCAGCTAGCCACCCTTTCGGGGCTCTCAGATCTGGCAAGGGTCTGGCAAACAATTCGTCATCCTGCATTGGGCTGCCCGACGGGACTGTCTCTGACTGCCGACCACCATTGAAAGCATGAAATCTGAACAAGATAAAATTAGACCTAATTTGCAAATCAAGTTGATATAGTCACTTGTTGTTGGGGTTGAAGACGATGGCTAACAAATCTAGCAAAGGAAACCAATCATGAGGCAACTTCAGGACACACAGCTCTACAAGTCTCTCGCAGTTTTGCTGTATGCAGTGGTGTATGTTGTACTTCCAAGAGTTGACAGCCTCGTCTGTGAGGATTTTGGTGAAGGAAATTGTTAGTCCCTCGCGGAAGAAGCGCTGACATGCTTCAGACCGGACATCAATGCCTGGAGAAATTTTACATTACAAAACATTCTCTAGTTACAATTTTCGGCACAAACCTTTTTGGCAGAGGTCGATTGATGCCAAAAGCAAGCACTCTAACTCCTGCTCCGGCAGCACTGGCACCACCCAACGAGGACTCGAGACTTTGTCCTCAAGCATGGCAAGCTTGGCATGTGGAAAAGGTGGTTCGCCCATCTCATCCTCCATGCTTTCACTGAAGCCAGGCTGTGTATCCTGAGGTGGGAGTTTTCAACCATGAGATGGTCAATTAAAATGTGAAAAGTCTTACCAAATTGATGTCCGTGCTGGCAGTGTTTTGATTGTCTGCGGACATCTCGATCTGTCCACCGCCGCTGCCACCACCACCCTGCTGTTGGCCGCCGACACCCCTGGATATGGTCATGTGTGTTTTTTCTTCTGTTATGAGAGGAAATTGAAATGCTCCTCCGTGTCTTTATCAGACATGCACTCTCCCTGTGTGTGGCTGCAGTCTTCGTGTTGAAATTTGATAAAATAAGTCTCAATGGAAATTCTCTCCTGACATTATCTGAAATCAAAATATACGTTTTAAACAATTGGCAGCGGCGCTTGAAGTTTTTAAATTGTCAATAAAGATGTTCGGGGAGGCGTGTTCGACATCACAATCCGGCTTTCTTTCGGGACAAATATGCAGCCGAATAAGCCGGACAAACCAAAAAACGCAATCGGACAACGCGCTGCGACGAATCGTCCAACCCATAAAGTAATGCGGACACACGCGCAAAATAAAAAACCAAAAATATTTTCTCTGTGCGATTTCCGACCGCACAAAATGGCGACTATTACGGTGTACTTCGGTTCTCGGCGAATTTCTTTGCGCTAGGAGTATTTTCCGGCTAGGTTAGTTAAAAATCCCAAACCTCAGAATGTGGACAAAGTTTTTCACCCGAAAACCGGGTCGATTATTCACTCAGAATGTACGAAATTTTCAAAAATGTCCAAGCACTCACCAATATTTCGTCTCTGTGAGGAAATCTTTTCGTTTGACGTCTGGAAATCACAATATGAGAGGGCTGACGTAAACTTTGAGAACACTAGTTCCAAAATCGCCCACCACTCTCCCCTTTGTAATTCACGGGAGCACCAGTGGCGCTGTCATCGTCGTGTACTGCAGATGCGAGCAAAACGTTTTCGTAAGCCTCACATTTACTTGTGCTCGCTGTATGGTATATGATTTCTCGGCAAAGTTCTTCAAGTCCTACATTTTCGCTGACGAGAAATTAATTATCACTGTTGTCGCGAAGACCTTTGAAAAGTAGAGAGGTATTTCAGATAATTTCAATTTCCATTAGAACCATTCGATAACTCGGTGCGAATATTTTCAAGGAATTCTGTGTTTCTCTTTAATTTTCCTTCATTCTCTAAAATGGGGATCATTGTGTCGGCCAAGTGTACATTTTAAGCATTGATTGGCCGAAAAATAGTCACGTGACCTGTGGGGCCAATGACTGCCGAAAAAGTTGTCAACAAGGGCGGAGGTTATGTTTGTTTTGCTGGACATTTAAATTCGATATTTAAATGCCTGCACAGAAATAATACTTAATAGATCATGGGTTTAGCGTTAAGAGACAGAGAAAGTGTCTAATGTTTGTTCGTTTTTATATTTTTTTCAATTTTTTCTGCATTTTTTATTACATTAAAGAAATCAAAGAATTTATCTTTAAGATCTCCAATTATTTATATACAAATCATCCTAAACAATGCATAAAATTCTTTATCAATTACATCATATATATATTATATTTATGAATTTATTTTTTTTCTCAAAAAAATTATCTGCATATGTGTATTTTGGTACATTTTTCGTAGGTCTGCGAACTGCTGATTATTATGGTACAGGTCTTTTTCAAGGGAATCAACTTTTGCTGAAAATTTTAGCCAGCAATATACTTAAAAAAGGCTCTTTTTGAAACTCAGGTGCCAACATTAACTTAAAAAAAAAACTTATTTTTAATAAGATAATATGATATAATAATATTTTCAAATTATCAACAGATTTAAAATAAAGCACACAATAAAACATATTGATTAATTTAATTAATCATTTGTTATTTAACTTATTTATTTTATTTTGATTAAATAATAATAGAGAAATTTTTATTTAGGTTGGAAAATGCCTCCCGTAATACCCGTCAAATCGCTCTACGCGATTGTCCTGGACAAGGTGACAAGCACTTTGTACCACTCGGCGGCGACGGGCAGCATCAACTCCGATGACGTTCGGAAACACCTGCTTCGAGTTCTCCACTCCGGCATCCGCCAAGACCTGATCTCCTCGGCCACCAAAAAGTACAAGGCCGACACTAACTTGGTGCATTTCAGCGCCGCCTGCAAGTACAACACCTACAAGCTGTTCGACCTGATCGGACTGGTCCTCGACGCGACCATCAAACGCCTGCACCCCATTGACCAGAACAGTTTCCTCTGGATCAACGAGTGTCTCGAACTTTTCACCTGCTTGGAAAACTGCCAAGCGGTCGGTTTGGAGGAACTCAGCGTCCGGGTGCGCATCAACCCGAGACACGACCTCGAGTTTGTCTCCATCATGAACAACACCTTCCACAGGGTGTTGTACAAAATGTCCAACCTTCGGGTGCTCATTTTGAGGAGCATCTGCGACAATGAAATGCTGCGGCTCATTGGGGAAAACTGCCCGAAACTTGAGCACCTGGACATGACCTCGTCATGGTTGGTTGACGACAGAGGAATTAGACAGTTGCTGCTGAAGAACCCGATGGCTTTCTACGAGAATGACTATTCGTCGAGTGTTGACTGCGAGAAAACTGCTTGCTGCGCACATTTAAAAGTAATAATTCTTTTATAAGAAATAAAATTTCTTTTAAAACATTAATTCCTGTTATTCCATGCAAATCTCTTATATTATTCTGGTTACCCTTTCAGGTTGTTCGAATTCAAGACACAAACACAACTGAGTTGGGAGTGATCATGCTGCTGCTGTTCATTCCTCAGCTGCGCTCCCTCGGAGGTTTCATTTATTACAGGAATGTGGGAGACGCAATCCTCTCCCTTTTGGAGTGGAAGCCATCGCTGTTTCTTAGACTGACTGACCTGTGGGACACCCACCTGCCCAATGGCAAAGCAGACAAGTTGATTTATGCCCTTCCTGGTCTGCAAAGCCTCTACACAAGAGGCACCTATTTGCCGAAGATCTCGGCATGGATGTATTTGACGTCTCTTACTATCGACTTTGACTTTCGAGACTTCGGACCCCTCCTTGAGGATTTCCTAGCGATTTGTGGACCTCGTTTGCAGAAGTTGGCAATTGTTGATCAGGTATGGTTTCTAGTCTAAACTTTTGTTCTTTTAAGTGACTTTTATCATGATAGGTGCATGCAATGAATTTGGAAACTATGTGCCAACTTTGTCCTGCACTCACCGAGCTTACAGCAAAAATTTGTTGCGAAGTTAGAGACGGACGCTGGAAGATGAATCCTAAATCTAAAATGCCACTTTTGCAAATAGCCAAAGTGCGACTGGAAACTGCGGAAGTTCTTCCCGCACTTCTGTCTTGCACCCCGGAGCTCACGAATTTAGAAATCTTTTACGAGCAGGACGGATCGTCGCCCGACTTGGACGACATCATTCTGTCTCAAGCACTTCAATCAGCGAGAAATGCGTCCGACCCGCCTTGCTTGGAGGTTAGTAAATTTTATTTTTGCAGTTTTGTGAGAGGTCAAAATGTAATTTCTCTCACAGTTGCTGTACATTCGGACCGAGAGCTCGTTGGGCTGGCTTGGGCTAATGGACCTGTTGACCTTTTGCCCAAATTTGAAGAGTGTTGGCGATCTCTACCATTGGTCAGCACTGGATCGAACAAGTTTGGAGCAACTGGAAGAGCTGACAATTATTAGAAACTGGGATCTGACTATCTTGTTTCAAGGAATGAGACTATCTGCTGGTAATTTTTTAAAAATGTAATTATATATATTATAGTTGACCGCTATTGGATTACTATGGAATGTTAAAGAATTGGAAAAAATGAAATAATTAAATGTATTTGTAAGGCTGGATTTTGTAATGCGAGAAGACTTTAATGGTTAAAAATTAAGATTGCTTGGAGGCGAAATATACTTTGGCACCAAATTTGAAGAAATGAAAAGACTTGACATTGTCGTACATAGCAATTATTAGTAAGCAATATATATATTTTGCATGGCAACTGGGGATGTTTGCTAACCAATTATTTGTGCCATTTTGGTGTTCGGGTTTTAATTTTTCTGGTGGATGCAAAAGTGTGTGAATTTTTATTTTTGATCTCTTATTTTCAATTTACTGAATTTTGAATTGTATCTTTGCAAGGTACTTGGCAAAAAAAGAATAGCATGATGTTATAATATTTAAGGTACCTGCAACAATGAAGACTAACATAATATAAATTTGTAGAAAGATTTATTTATCTGTAATGATTTAATGTATTTTAATTAAAATTGCTGCACACTACCGCATAAGAATCGAGTAATGGTTCAAGATCAAATTTAAGCTTTAGGGGCTGTAATGTAAGATGTTGGTTGCGCTAATGATGACTTGCTTGGTTATGTAAAGTCTAATTTTGAGGTTCACAGTATGAGTTAAAAAGTGTTAGTTTTAGCGAGCAAGAATTTTAATTCAGAAAATATTTAAACGGATGTAACTGGATAAAAAAAATCCAGTAGTGTGTAGTTCATATCCACATTTTAAGTGTTATAGAATTAACATTTTGAAACTTTATTTGTGTTTATGTCAAAATTATAGGTTCATTTTACAAATAGAGTGTAATTTATTGTGTGATAACAGAGGAGAATGAGTTTAATTAATTAAGACTGATATACTTGTGATGTATTTTTTCTTCAATATTTCTCGGAAGTAAGAGTTTATGTATATAATGATGAATAATAAAAATTCTCTTTTCTTCAATATCAAAGATCATTGTTTCTATTTTATTCAATAGTTGTCAGTACAAAATATTCCACACAAAGTGTGCATTCACGAAAACACTCCTTCCACAATAATGTAGTGCTATCACCTGAAATAAAATTGATAGCTTTATAGGAATAAAAAAAATGAGCCTTCACCAATTATTTCAAAATTTGGGTGTGTGATTTTGTAAGTCGTGACAAACGTGGTATTTAAAATTTCAAAACATCACACTAGCCTTTTTAAATGATGAGTTTGGAATTTAAGGGTTTACAGAATAACAAATACATATTAAATTTAATACCATCATAAGGCATAAATAGATTTTCAACTCAAAGGAAAATATGAACTATAATTGCGTTTAAATTTGGCACAGTCTTATAAAGCATGAACATCACACTGACAATATAGACGTCACATCATCAAATTAATATAGAAAATGAGCTCACAGGCAAATTAAATAATCCAGCCACACGCATTTTAGGCATCCGGAACATCAACATCAGGCTTGAAAAAATTTCGCTCGCTGTGTCTAGACCTTTTAAGTTCTTTCTTGAAGTAGTCTACTGTCTTCTTCAAGCCCACCTCAAGCAGTACCTAAAATTGAACATGTTAAAAAATATTTCAAGCCTTCTATTTAAATCGTGCCTTGGGCTCCCAATTTAAGTATTGCTTAGCTCTTGAAATGTCAGGCCTGCGCCTCTGTGGGTCATCTTCGACAGCAGCCACAGACTTTATTTCACTAGTGCCTCCAACAAGGTCCTTGATGATCACAGCAAAATCTGCAAGATATTGATGAATAAATTTTAAATTAATAAAAAGAAGAAAATTAGAATTTAGATCAACTTCGGAATTATTTTTGTACCTTTTATAGTTCTTTCAATGGGATTTCCTAAATTAACAGGTTTGCTCATGTTTGAATTCATGAGAGCAATCAGTCCATCGACTAGATCAGAAACATACTGGAACGATCTTGTTTGTGATCCTGCCCCGTACACCTTTAAAAAAAATCAGGTTAAAATCTAAAAAAAAAAAAAAAAAAAAAAGATTATTACCGTCATTGTTTCATTTTTTAGTGCCTGGAGAATGAAATTGGAAACAACTCTTCCGTCATTCATATGCATCCTGGGGCCATAGGTGTTGAAAATGCGAGCAACTCGGACACTTACATTTTCCTGCCTCATGTAAGCATAACTGAGAGTTTCCGCTACTCTCTTTCCTTCATCGTAGCAAGCTCTGGGCCCTACAAAATCAGCAAATCTTAGATATTGTGGACTTTCAACAATTCTTCTTCACTTACCAATAGGATTAACATGACCCCAGTATGTTTCCGACTGAGGATGTTCCTCAGGATCACCGTAAACTTCGGAAGTACTAGCTATGAGAACTCGAGCACCAACTCGTTTTGCTAAACCTGATATTGAAAAAATGATTAAAAATTTCAACCAGCCTCACAAGCAATTATATACCTAGAACATTAATGGTGCCAAGGGTGTTGGTCTTAATTGTTTTCACAGGGTTGAACATGTAATGTGGCGGTGATGCTGGACTTGCCAGGTGATAAATTTGGTCGACCTCTATGTACAACGGTCTAACTATGTCGTGGTGAATCAGCTCGAAATTCTCATGGCCCAGCCAGTGCTCGACATTTCTTTTGCGCCCCGTAAAAAAATTGTCGACCACTGTAACCTCGTGTCCTGCCAACATTAATTTGTCCACTAGATGAGAGCCAACAAAACCAGCCCCTCCAGTAATCTGTAAAAAATAACTTGATGTAGACATTCCATTTTCCTCGATTCTTAATTTTATTTCTACCAAAATTCTCTTTCTGTCCAGCGGGCGGAAGTCCACTTCTGGAAATTGCTTCGGAAGCCGCTTTTCCAATTCCATTAGTTTGGCCTGCAGCTCGCTAATTTTCAATTTAGCCTCCTCGATGTCTCGGATGTCGTTCTCGTGACCACTCGTCTTCCCTTTTGCTGGAGTTTTGAATGTTATTTCATTACCGACATGATCTTCCAGAGCCTCCTGAAAGGTCGGTCCGTGACGATTTTGCTTCAGGATAAGTTTGTTTTGGCTCAAAGCGTCTTCAGCACCGTCGTGGATGTCCACAGCTACATGACTGTTCACCCAATTGATGTAGAAGATGAGAACTGGAATAATGACAAACATTGCAATGTGTAACTTTTTCATGTCCAGACAAAGGACCGAGTTCAAAAAAGAAAATGATTGTCAAACGTGGCTGGTAAAACGTGTCGGAGTGACATATCGCTACATCACACACACGGAAGCTCAGGTGGAAAAATAACTATAAAAAAATTGTGGCGAGACTCGAGTGAGAGATAAGAACTTGAAATAGAAATAAGCTTTAGCTCATATCAGTAGCTAATGGAACTTAAATTATCTTGATCTCCGGTCTCCGGTCCTGAAACAATAATTATTATCATACAATTAAACAAACCTCCAAATGCACACGCAGAAGCAGCCATTATTCGCCTCATTTTCCGCTTAATGAAACTCTGGCTCATGCTCGTCACTCTCCACTGCGCTACATTACTCTTTTCGAAATTAGTGAGCCGTCGACGAATCGGGTTGTTTTTCCGGAATCGAAATTTTGCAACCTTTGTTTTGCCGAGTTTCGCTGCATCAGCTGGTAAACAAGGAAGCAAAGTTGCAAACTTCAGAGGCAGAGGGCATGTCGACCGCCAAGCTGTGGCCAATCACAGCATTGCAAACGACCCCGTGGACCAATCAGATTGTAGAACCTCTCAACATGAAAGGCGCGAAAGTCAAAAACTTAAAAATCCCGTCTGGATGAAAATGTTTTCCCGAAAAAATGCCATTTAGTATTAAAAATATTGAAAAGCTACCACAAATGATGTTTAAAATTAAATATATTATTAATTCAGATCGAAATCTCCACTGTCATCAAGCCGGGTGTATACAATCCTTGAAATTCCAAAGTATGCACCCCAATGGAATCGCCTTACGTGTGGTTTTATCTAGAAGGAGGCGGAGCCTTCTTTGAACATAAACAAACTGGGGCAGACGGCAAACTTGAAATTAGAGAAAGTAAATTTTTGCGTTGCTGAGCAAGGTCTTGGCCTCTTGTTGTCGTTAGAAAGAGTGCAATCGTTCCATATTTTTGGTTAAAATCACGGTTGTTTATTATACTAATTTGCATGTTGGTAAATCTCTGCGAGCATTACTTTGAAGAGAAAATCGGAAGAGTGTGAACGTACCCTCTGGATATTTTTGTGTACGTGTAGTATAATTAATTTGTATTTTTTTTTTATTTCCGAATATCAATTACACACCTTTTGCATACAAAATTACACATTTTTATCTATGTATTGCAATTAATTTTTTTTTGTCTTTTTCCAGTGGAAATGAAGAATAACTATTTTTCTGGACTGATTTAAACTGTCATCATGAGTAAAAGTTTTCTCGCTAAATGTGCCTGGCTATTGGTAGCATTTTTCCTGCTAACATTTGATGTCATCGAAGCTGCCAAGAAGAAAGATTACTACGAAGTCCTTGGTGTTAAGAAAAATGCATCCGAGCGAGAGATAAAAAAGGCTTTTAGGAAATTGGCCTTAAAATACCATCCCGACAAGAGCAAAGCTAAAAACGCAAATGAGAAATTCCAAGAAATTACCCAAGGTTAATATAAAAAAAATTATAATAATTGTTTTTGCTAAGTAAAAATCAATTTTTCAGCCTACAATGTTTTGTCTGATTCGGAAAAAAGAAAGAAATATGATTTGATCGGGGATGAAGACTACCCAAAACCAGGAGGAGGCCAACAGTACCAGGGTGGAAACTTCCACTTCAACTTCGATGACATTTTCACCCATTTCGACCACCACTTTGCTTCTCACCAGCATTTCCACCATCAGCCTGGCGGTGGATTTGATAGTCATTTTAAGTTCGATGATGTCTTTGAAGAGGTGCAGTCTTTTTATAAACCCCTTTGAATTGATGTAATTATTTTGTACGCTTTTAGCCTGATATCCAACATTTCCATGGAAACGATCATTTCGCCTTCGACGCCCAAACTTTCGGAGATGGCGCCTCTTTCTTTGGATCCCACTTTGCAAACCACAAACAGCAGTTTGAGAACCATCAGCAGATTCACCGCAGGGCCCACGCTCAAGCAACTGCCCAAAGTCGAGGTAACGGCGATCACCACTTTGCTAGTCATGCATCTGTTCACAATTCTGGAGGAAGTGGACAGTCCTGTCGAACAGTCACCCACAGAGTTGGAAACACGGTGACCCAGTACACTGAGTGCTCATAAGAAAATTTTTTCCATGCACTTTTGTTTTCACAAATAATTTGTTTCACCCGGCCCAGTCGCCAGAATTTTTATCGAGTTGAATCTACGAACACAAAAATACTTAACTTGTGATAGTTGATGTATTATTTCCTAATGTGTATAATCACACTCCTCAGCATTTTTGTTGAATTGTTTGTCCGTGTTTAAACAGAATGATACGATTTTTCAGTTTTTCGATGATCCAATTTTTTTTGCTTTCAATTATATGATGGTTTTTAATTATACTAAAAGGTAAAGAATGTTAACTTTTACAAAACAAAAAAATAATAGTTATGATTTCTGCACACTGAAATATAAATTACCACATACCCTCTACACATAAGTATATCTTATTATATCAAATAATCGGGGCTGAACTAATTTCTTTCTCATGTGATATATTAAAATTATGGATTTTCAACAACTTTTTTTATAAATAACACAGCAAACTAAAATTTAGTATAATAACCCAATCTTGGAAATAATTTAGAGATCATACTTTTTTTCCAATTATAAGCAAAGATAATGAATATTTTTGTATTTTTTTTCACATGTGTTTGAAGGAGCCGAATAGAGAGAGTAAAAACTAGAGCCGAAGAATTTAATAATAATTTATTCTATTATTATTGGTATAAAAAGTTCAACATTGTCAATCAGCACCGTTTGCCGGAAAAATTTGAAATAGTTATGCGGAGTGTACGTAAAGGAGTTTCGCATACATGTACAATTTTGACTTTATGTCTCTATTATTTCTTGCGTAGCGTATGTAGAAATACATCGATAATAGCTTTTAAGTAGCAATTTTGAGATCATTCAGTTTTAATTAGAAGCGTTTTCCAGTGATATCTGGCAAAATTCATTACACGAATGCAACTCCTTTTAATTACTCGAGTCTGTGAAGCACATGCTAATGGCAGACCGCCGCCTTCTTCTGTATTTTGGCACGTGAGCACCGTCGTTCTGTGTTTTCATAATATTTTGCTATGGGAAAAGCAAAGAAAATCAAAGTTTCCAAAAGCGAAACGCGCAGATCAGATTTAGAGACTCAGCTAGATGACGATAAATTTGCCAAACCTCGAGGAAGAGTGAAAACAAAGCGGCCTCGTCAAGATGACGACGATGAGGTTAAATCATATTTTTCTTTTTTTAATACATAATAACAAACTTTCTAATTTTTTGATGCAAATAAAATGCAAGTTTAACACCAAGTATATAATTAAATTTATCTCGAATTTCAGTTCGTCGACTCCTCGTTGTCCAAAAAAATTTTGGGACAAGCGATGCGTCAAAAACGAGAGGAGGAAGGCGTTGAAAAAGACGAGCCACCAGGCCCTTTGGACATAAGTTTAGGACAATTTGAAGTAGAAGAGTACGACGAGAGTGAAGATGATTTGCAGGGGGACGACTTTTGTGACAAAATTGTATGCCATGGTTTTTTTTATATGCACAAATTAATTAATCACTTGCTCTGATATTGACAGGAGGTTGACGAGGAAGAGGAGAGAGTGATGGACATGTTTTTGAACAAGAGTGCAGTGCCTCAGAGAACCCTGGCTGACATAATTATGGCCAAGATCAATGAGAAGCAAACTGAATTGAAATCGCAGTGTTCGGACGCAGGAGGTTTGTCAATCAATTGCATTTTAAGTTCAAGTTTTAAATAAATGATTTACAAAATTCTCAGCTCTTCAACTACAAGACATAAACCCAAGAGTGAGGGAAATGTACCAAAGCGTTGGAGAGGTCCTGTCCAAATACAGAAGTGGAAAACTGCCAAAGGCATTCAAAGTGATTCCCAATCTCAAGAACTGGGAGCAAATTCTATACTTGACAAGTTCGTATTTGGAAGTTAATTCGTATAAATTGCTATTCATTTTATGTGCAGATCCAGAAAGGTGGAGCGCTTCTGCCATGTATCAAGCTACAAGAATTTTTGCCTCGAATCTAACTGAGAAAATGACCCAGCGATTCTACAACTTGGTTCTTCTTCCCCGTGTTCGAGACGACATTAGCGAATACAAACGACTCAACTTCCATTTGTATCAGGCCCTACGAAAGGCACTTTTCAAACCAGGCGCTTTTATGAAGGGAATGCTCATTCCCATGTGCGAGGTGTGTAGACCACGTTATCTGCTTTAGGTTGTAATTAAAAAAAAAAAAAATCCAATAGAGTGGAACATGCACCCTCCGAGAGGCTATTATCGTGGGATCAGTTTTGGCCCGGAATTCCATCCCTCTTCTCCATTCGGCCGCTGCCATGCTGAAGCTTGCAGAAATGGAGTACACGGGAACGACGTCCGTTTTCATAAGGATTCTGCTCGACAAGAAATACGCCCTGCCGTACAGAGTGATTGATTCCTTAGTGTTTCACTTCTTAAGGTAGTGTTGAGATGTGATTTGAAATTTAATTTAATAAAAAAAAATGATGCAGGTTTTCAAGGGACCCTCGACAATTGCCGGTTTTGTGGCACCAGTCCTTGCTCACTTTTGTTCAGCGATACAAAGGCGACATCAGCTCCGAGCAGAAAGAAGGACTCTTAGAACTGTTGCGGAGCCAAAACCACTCGACCATCAGTGCCGAGGTTCGAAGAGAGCTGCAGAGCGCCAAGTGCAGAGATTTGGAGGTAAAAGAACCAGAGCCCATGGACAGCTCCTTGTAAGAGATCTAATAAATGGATATTATATAATATATAAAAATAAAAAAATACTTTTTTTCTGCTATTTTAAACTTTTCCAAACAAGCTGATTATAAAATGATTATCGTTATGGAATTGCTTTCCTCGTTGCAGAAATTGTTTTTTTAATCAAAAACAAATTTTCCATTGCAGAAAAAAGATCTGCAATGATGATCAATTTCAAGTGTCAATTTCTTCAGATTTTTATGATTTATAATTAAATATTTTGGGGTGAACAATAAGAAATAAAATTTATTAAATCACACATAACAATAAGTGACAATAAGTTTATCATCATGTCTGCTGAGACAGTTTTTTCTTTTGAGCATTAACTATGCCTGTAATAAAGAACTCGCCCGCTCGGTAACTACTTCTCACTAAAGGACCACTTGCTGTGTATTTGAAACCCAGTTCATCACCAACCTTTGCCCATCTCTCAAATGAAGGAACCGTCACATATTCAACAACCTGACAAAATCATGGTTTCGATCATTCTGAAATTTATGTTTAAATCAAATTACACACCTTGAGGTGACGTTTTGTTGGCTGCATGTACTGTCCGAGCGTGACACAATCCACGCCTGCCTCCTTAAGATCTAAAATAAGTTAAAATAGTTTAAACTTCTAATTTTTCGGATGATCAATCTCGAGTCGTACCTAACATGGTCTGCATAATTTGTTCGTCGGTTTCTCCCAGTCCGAGCATTATCGACGACTTTGTTATTAGATTTGGCAGAGTGTCTTTGGCGTGTTTTAAAACTCCTAAACTCTGTCTGTACTTTGCCCTGTGGTCCCTGACGAAAGGCGTCAATTCCTCCACGGTTTCGATGTTGTGCGCAAAAACGTCCAAGCCGCTGTGGATGACTGTGTCGACCGCAGTTTTGTCTCCGGCAAAATCAGGACAGAGACACTCGACTAGAATGCTCGGGTTACTAGAAAAAAATTATAAAACATATAGAACTTGTAAAAAAAAAGAGTAAAATCAAATTACGCTTTTTTAATCTCGATGACAGTTTTTGCAAAGTGATTTGATCCACCGTCGAGCAAATCTGGAATATTTCGAGTCAAGTTTTAATTAAATTGCCAGGATCGATTGGTTTAGATTTACCATCCCTATCGACCGATGTTATCACAATGTAGCCCACACCCCAGTCCTTGATTGCTTGCGCCGTGTTGTACGGCTCGTCTGGATCAGGCGGCGGAGGCGCTTTCGACGTTTTGATGGAGCAAAATCTGCAGCCTCGCGTGCAAGTGTCTCCGAGCACCATGATGGTGGCCGTGGCTGGATGTCCATCCTTGCCACCCCAACACTCGCCAATATTGGGACAGCGAGCCTCTTCGCAAACGGTCGAGAGCTTCTTTGTCCGCAGCTGAGATTTCAGTTTGCTGATGAATTAAAGTTTCATTAAAAATAATTTTTTAAATTGAAGAAATGCACCTGAAATTTTCTCCCTGGGGAATGCTTCTCTTCAGCCACGGGGGAAGAGACAAGCGTTGATAATCGCCCTTTTCCCTTTTTAATTTTCCACCGTACTCGATGAAATCGCCAAGTCCTGGTCCTTGCGTAAGCTTTTTTCTGACCTCCTCCGGCAGCCCTTTACTGCTGCAGCTCCTGCTGAATCTCTGTTGGAATTAAAAATCGGTCACTCGATTGTCGTCACCAAATAATCAAACAAGATGATCTCACGAGCGGCAGCAAGTTCAAAGGTTGAGCAAGGGCACCCCTCGAGAACATGTTTCCCGTGAAATTTCAAACTATCCAATGACCTGTGAAGTGAAATTAACTGAAAAAGGTGGAGAGGATTATTGGACAGAGTTACTTACGCCTCTAGATGATTAAGACAATTTAAGAAAATTTGATTATGCAGCACTTTAAAATTAAGTAATTTGTCTTCTTCGATGTTGTCGTCAATCTTGCTCGGCTGTTTATGATTTTTTTCTTCAGCCTTCAGCCTTCAGCTGGCTGGTTGGTAGTGACATCTGGTGGCTGTTTCGCCCAGAAAGTTGCGCCAAATATGTGGTGCAGGTTGCATAAATGCACACATAACTTACATTTTTTTTGCTCCCTTTCAGTAAGATTTTATTTATATTCCAGATAAATATGTTAATATTTATATCTGCCTTATATGTTAGATATCAAACATTTTATGGTTCTAATTGGTCATAAAAAATTTATATGGAAAAATTTCTTATTTTCAAATAATAGTAAGAAGTATATATCCAAATGCAATTTTGGCGCAAAATTGTTTCATTATTATTAAGTCAAAATTTATTATATCTAACTACTTCTCATTGTTTGCGCAGCGTTAGCCTTGCAGAAAGTAGAAAGACAAGAATATAGTGTGAAGTTTTTTTTTGGTAATTTTTTTTTAATTATCTTAAAAAAATATTTGATTAGAAATCAAACATATATTTTGGATATCAATGGATTAAAACTAGTGTAGAGGTTAGTGAATTGGTCGAGTTCGAAAATTGGATTTATCAATGAAAATTAACGATTGGCACACAATATTTAGAAAATGGTGTAAGTCATTTTTGGGGCACTTTCATTCCAAATTTTATTAAATGCCTTTTCTTGATTCTTACTAAATTGACTTTTATTCGACTCCTCTTATTGCAATTTTTTTTTCATTTACTAAGAAAACAATCAGAGCTTCTGATTCCTCTATTAACAGGAAAATATTCAGTTGTATTTTTCTCCCTGGATATTTATATTATATCCATAAAAAATTTTGAAAAGAAATTAGAAAGTAAAATACGATGAAGAATATCACTGCCAGTATGAATGAGGACATATATTGCTCAATGGGTGATTCAGGGTGACTTACTCTCCTGAAGAAGTTACCAAAGTAGCTGTCATGCCTCCCCTAATATTTTATCAGCGTATTTGCTGAATGAAGCTTATCCAGACGTTAAATTGTTGCGGAATTACTCGTATTGTAAATTAAATAGGAAATTGGATTAAAATAAAGACAGTGTTTCTATTTATTTTTTTATTTGCCTTGATTTTATTCTGAGGGTAGCAGCAGATATGTACATGATATCGTCATCAAAACGATGACAAAACTTTCCATTGTTGGGTTACACAATTTAAAAAAAAATGACAGAAGAACGTATATAGGACAAAACACAAAATAGTTTTTTGTGCACAGGTCGCCTTTGTAATATTTATGTAACAACACATAAAAACTGCCAACGTTTTGTTTCTATTCACAATCATATGTATATATGAAAATTCTCTTATCCACAGCAAAGAATCCACATATCAACGAAAGTTACAAGTCCGATCGAGTGAGGAGTCAAAAGAGCAGGGACTCTTTTGTCCTTTGCGCCCAATAAACGAATGAAAATGGCTCAACATCCAGAGGAGAGAAGGCGAAATCAATATCTAATCTCATCACACCCTGCTAACAAAGATCAGCAGAATGTGTAGTTTGTGTGAAAGAGATGGTACTTTGTAAACGTTTTTGGCACACTTATTTATGCAACTAACTATGCGCACTTTTTGCTTCTCTCTATTAAATTCACGTTTCTTATCAAATCTCGCCGAATTCTTATACACTTTTTTGTTCATAACTTCTTGCTTTCATAATAAATACAATATTAGCCATAATATTTTCGCGAAGAATAATATCAAGTGTGTAATGTGTGTGTGTTTGTGAACCTCGGTAGTAATAATTGTTCTTGTCATAATTATATATAATTATTTAATATCAATATCTCTTGTAATCACATTTAATTGCAGACGCACATTCAACAGATCTCTCATTTCAGCAGCATTGATTCCGCTATTTACACACATTAAAGTTATAGTTTATCTGTTAAATAAAAAGTCAGGGCCTCTTTTCTGTTCCGTTCGTTAACCAAAGTCCGAGTAACCTGAAACAGAAAAAAAAATTCATTCAATTAGCAAAAAGAATATATTTTGGTGGCAGGTGTTTCGTACAATCGCCGCGAATTGATTTATCTCGTCTATTTGCGGAGCGGAATTCTCATCTTTGTGACCGAGTTTAAATAAAAAGAGAGGATAAATAATCGAGCAGTCGAGTCGGAGCTCCGACGGTGCGTTACTTGGAGCGAGAGCCGCGCATTTGATCTCGGTCCGCCCCGTTAATTCTGATTAACCAATCCCTGTGGTCTCCAAATCAAACCTTCTCTGACAGTCTAATTTGGCCCACGCACCACACATGTACAACTTGTAAAAAATGTTTTATTGCTTTGCTGGATGCGAATTTAATTTTTATAATAAATATGTCTTGTAAAATTAAGTATATTAATTTGACACTTTTAAAATTTATTTTTTTGTTTTATTTATTAGGAGTTGGAAAGTTAATTGAAACATTGCTTGTCGCCAGCTCCGTCGCGAGAATCAAAGAACGTATTTCCGAAACAGAGAACAAACAAAACGCGTGTACAAATAAATGCGACCAAGCAAATGTTGCATGACACGCTGCTTTTTCTTGTCGTCTTGGTCGTTAGGCTCGTCATCAGCTCACTTACAGACAACGAGCAAGCAAAAGCGGCCTGGCAGACCCCCCGCGCGCCGCCTTAATTGAATTCATTAAAGTCGAGGAATCTGATCTTCGCGGCTGCTTATTTTTTACGTTATTTCCTCTCGAAACCCTCACTTCACGCAACAAGAGGGCCGCATTCAGAAAAATCGGCGTGCTGGATCGGTTCGCAAAATCCAATCAATCAAATCAGCAGTGCGAAAAATAATAAATCAGGAGAATCGATTATTTTTCCCCTTTTAAATAAAACAAAATTGTAAATACTCACTTGGCGCAATGTAGTCCGGACTGGACCTTTGCGACATGAGGTCACCCTGTTGCAAGAAGGATGGGTCATTGTTGGGGTTCATGGGACCAAACTCGCCGGGCATGGGGCCTGGCATCGAGCCAGGGCCTCCGTCCATTCCACCTGGAATCATTCCTGTAAATGAAAAATCTCTCAATTAAAAAGATAACATAACTTATCAAATTTAATACATTTTGTGTACAATTCTAAAAATGAAAAGAAAATAAATAATTAAAAATGATTTAATTTAATTCTTTAGAAAAAAATGAAGATTTTTCTTAAACATACTTTATTTTCCAGCTATTTAAACCGATTTAAACTAATATCAATAACGTATTTTGATTTGAACATTTAAATTTATTTCAGGCACTATGTTTATTACTTTAGATTGGTATTTGTAGTAAATTTAAAATAAAATTTAAATTAATTCTTATTTAATTAAACTTAATGGATAATATTAAAATTAGATATAATTAAAACAATTAAATGCATTAATATTTAATTAAATTATTTAAAAAAAGTACAGTAAATAAAATTAATAACTAAATTTTTTTAAATATTAAAATAAAAATATTAAATAAAAAATTATTACTTTAATTAGAAAAATATCCTAATATTACCATTATCAGTTTTTGCTTACCTTGTGGAGGGAAGGGCAAAGGTGGCCCCGAGCCAGGTTGTCCAGGGAAGAAGTCGTGGAAACCCTGGCCAGGGTAGCCAAAGTCAGGAGGGAACTTGCCGTCCGCGGCCGCAGCAGCTGCGGCGGCGGCCGCCGCGAAATATGGGAAGCCGGGCCCACCTGAGCCGTCGTCCAGACCTGGGCTCATGTTCATGGGGAAGCCGCGCATTTTGCGCGTCGACCCGAAGAACGGACCTCGGCCCATCGACGTCAGCTGCTTCAAGCGACGCTCCTTACTTCGCTTGTTTTGAAACCACACCTGAATTAAACAAAAAAGAATTTTTAATTTTATTTCGGAAATTTTTTGAAAAAGGCAAGAATTGATTGATTTTTTTTAGTTGACGGCAAAAATTGAATCAGACGATTTAGACTTTTTTTGTGATGGGAGGGATTTTGCACGATAAAATCAGCTCGGGTGGCAGTGCAAAAGGTGCGATTTCGGAGGAAGGAAAGGGACGAAAATCTGGTGGCAAATCCCCTCTTTGTTATTTCTCTCACGTCGCCGGCGACGCGGCAGCAGCGCCGGGGGTTAATACGGGGGGTAATTGAAACAAACGGCTGTGTGTCGCACACCTTTGCTCTCTAACCCTTGTGATAAAAAAAAAATACTCTGGAGTTTCGCCATTAAATCCGATTAGAGAGAAATTTACAAAAAGTTTTTTCATTGCCAATTAGAGAATTAGAATTATATATTTAAGAATAACTGTTTGTTTTTTTGTGAGAAAAGAAAATAATTTTGTTTTTTCTCTTCTGCCTCCGTAAAAAATTAATTGAAAATTTAGGGTCTTTCAAACTGTAATGTTAAAAAATTCAATTCTCGTCTTTTTTTATAGTCATTCTTACCTGAATTACTCTCATGGGAAGGCCGGTCTCCTTGGCTAATTGCTCTCTGATGTGTCTCGTCGGCTTGGGCGTTTGAGAAAAGGCAGTTTTTAATATCTCGAGCTGCTTTGCTTTGATTGTTGTTCTGGGACCTCTTCTTTTCGAGCCGACTGCGCCGTCGCCGTCTGGGCTTTTGTTCTCGGTTTGCGAGTCTCGCGTTTCCGGATCGCCGTCCAACGAGCCCTGCGAAGAAGACAAAAGAATTTGCAAATGAGCACAAAGATTCAGTTAAGCGAACAAAAATCCTCGCAAATTCTTACACAATCCAGAGCGGCGCAGCAAACGTGCCAATGGATATTGTTTTGAAAACGCTACGTTATTTTTAATTAAAAAATAAATTTAAAAAATTTTGGCACAATTTTCATCTTACAGAGCAATAGCGTTGGTAATTCTAAGGATTTTTTTTTAAATAAATTTCTCATTCAAGAGGTACAGTAACTCACCTCGGAGTCGTTTAGCGAGTCCTTCTCGGGGGTGGTTAGCGATGGGTCGACCTTGAGGTCACCGGCGCCGACGCCTCCGAGAAGCGAGGCGCCGGGGCTGGTGCCTCGCACGTTGTGGTTGTTACTCGACGAGTTGTTGTTGGCCTCCGGGGGCAGAGAGGTCGTTTTCGAGTCTTCATCCTCCTCGTCTTCGCTCGCGGAACCCAACAGGGAATCACCTGCGAACAGAAACGCAAACGCTCAGCCCCTGGAGGTTATGCAGTTTGTCGGGGAGACCGGTCTTGCGGGTCGCATACCAAGGGCTTTGTGCAGGATGAGCTTGAAACTTTCGAGCTTATGTGAACTTTGAGTGAAGGAAAAGTTTCTAAAGTTGGATGCATTAAAGAACAATTTTCTTTTAACAAAAGTCAAGAATAAAAAATTAAAAAATTAATGAAAAGCTTAAAATTTCATGGTGATTTTAATATAAAATCGGCTTTTCCTCGATGAATTTTGTGAGTTGTTTATTGGTTGATAACCGTAATTCATATGCTGTGAAATCATTTTGACAAGTAGAAATCACAAATCCCATCGAGGAAAAGCCGATATCAAATTCAAATCACCATGAATCAACCCTCGATCTTGAAATTCTACCACAAAAAGCTTAAAATCTATTTATAACCTTTTGATTAGTAAATTCTAATCGCGTTTAAATTGACAAAGTTGAGAAATTTTATTAATTTGTGGACGAACTTTGTAAGATTTGGAACAGAACGTGGAATTGGCGCGCTAGATCAAGCTGCACCAGACTTGTCGTGAAAGATTAACGAGGTCAAAAAGTTTTGGCCTAAGTTGTGCGTGTATATATAGTGTTTATTCGGCAGACTAGGAAGTTAAAGTTTCAGGCAGAGAGCAAGCAGCTTTTGCTGATCGGCACTCTGGCCGGCGAAATTTACCAACGGCGCGCGGCCGGGAGCTGCCGGATCGAGAGCCAACCAGCCCATGCAGCCAGCCAGCGCAAGCACTTTCCACTTTAGGAAAATCAATTTCTCCCTCTGGCGAAACTTCGGAGCCACACTCACTCTACTTCAGCTAGTTCTCTCTCGGCTCTCCCCGAGCTTTATACAAAATGGCGACGTCTTATATTTTCACAATCGCACACACACAGCCGGCCTGAATGAATTAATCTTTTTTTGCAAAAGTTGCGACCAAAATGTATTTTTACAATCATGTAAAATTTGCTCAAGTAACTCAATCGCTGAGGGAGAGAACAAACCGCAAAGGTGAAAAAACTTTTGCAACTCGTCAAACGCTTTTTTAGTGACTCTAAAAGGGGTTCAGGAGCTTGTTCACAATGTCCTTGCTGAGTTTTATACAAACGCCTGGAATAATCATATAATTCGCCCCCTTTTTCAAAGGTCCAGAAAACCCTCCTGCATCGCAGAGGTTGAGGTCCACGACCTCAACAGGTAGGGGTGGCTTCCCCTTCACCTGAAGTTGCAAGACCAACTTGAGGTCCACATTTGCAGTTTTTTTTAGAGGTTCCAGTGGGTTATGTAGTGTAACAATAATTAAATCAAATAATCAGATTAATCAATAATATGTATTAGCCTCCGTACCATCTTCCAATCCGATCAAATCTAATTTAACAATGGAGCTAAAATAAATATTGTTTAATAATCATTCGCCACCTAGACGCACAAACAGTTCTCTGTATTTGGTCGGTCTCTCCATGGACCAGCAATATCTTAATGACTAAAATGTGATTTGTATATATCTATAAATGTGTCATATACATTTGTCAACACGTACTATCCACCAATAATTGTTGAAGAATTAATAAATGGCTTTCATGGCACCTAGTTAATTAAAAAGAGGTTCATCATCCTCAGATATTCACACATTAATGTTAAAAATAAAACTAACAAAATCCAACGTTCATTAAAATTGATAATTTACAAATTACTCCTAAGACGTGCTGTCACAAAGGTGTGACTGCAAAACGTGTTAAAAAAAAATGGAAAAAAATAGCAGAAATGTCCATGGATTGCACTATTGAGAATTAATAAAAATTGCATCATTAGCATTTGCAATAAGTTGTAATACTCAATGACTGCAATATTTTTACAATTTAATTCCCACACCTCAGCAGACGCAGTGTGATTGAATAAAGGGCAGAAGGTACAAATGGAATATCATTATATGATCGCGCGGTGACGTCACTCGGCGCCGATCAAAAAACTCCCGCGAGCCGCTCTCAAGGTAACCTTTCACGGTTTGTAGAGGAATTATCACCGCATGTGCTGGCGAGCGCGAGTTGAAAAATTAAAATGCGTACAATGCTTTTTCTAGCCGTCGGTCTGCAATCCGCGCACATTGCGTAAACACACCATCTTTAGGAGAAAAAATGCCCGGAAAACTCTGGCTTTCGAGTGATTCGACACGCAGCTTAACCCGCGCGCTGTCTCACGGATGTCTCAGTTTATATTTTTTCGGCTTTTCCTTTTAAAACAATCGAGCGTGGGCATTCTTGGGTGCAGAAAAAATATATATGGTCGCGCGGGACGCACGTGATTCCTCAGGTATGAGAGAAGCTCACGCATCCCTAATTAGAACAAAAACGTCAGTGGTCGCAAAAAAACGCGAGTCTTTTCCGTGAAAAGACCAAATCAAGCGGCACAAAATACGATCCGTATGGTTTTCAGGCATGACCAGGAAAGAAAATAAATTTCTTGCAGGTTAAAAATATTAATTTAACTGGGAAAATTTTAATAAGATCCTATCATATTAACAAAATAAGTTTAAGATCAAACTTTTTTTCTTTAAATTTTAACATTTTTTGAAATTATTATTGTTGTTGATTTTTCCACATTGCTACATGACATTGTTTGAATTCAATTAGATGTAACAATTTGAGCAAATAAAAAACAATAATAATTGCAAGAAAATGTGAATATTTAAAAAAAAACTATTATATGAATTAATGATTGAAGTATTTATAAAAAAAACAATGAAAATAAATCAAGAAAAATTTATTAAAGTCAAGTTTGATGATCTTGGCATAAAGCGTGCGTTTATAAAAAAAAAACTTTACAGAAGCAGCGGGAAATGATGAAAATTTTGGTGCATCTCAGGTTCAGTGTTACACCTTGACCTGCGCTCAAATAAATTCTCATTTACAACTATCACGCCGAGCGCGTGTTTCCGAGAAGAGGTGAAAAAGCTCGATCTCTTGAATAAAGAAAAACGACGGCGTGCATAAATTTTTTTACTGCCCACCAAACGATCGCACAGCAGTCAGTTCTCGTCCTGAGAGGAGAATCAAGGAAGACCGACCGACACCGGTTGTTCTTAAACATTTAATATGAAAATCAGAAAAGTCCCGCTGGTAAAATCAGCCAAGAAATAAGAGGCAACAATGAAAAATAATGTCTTGACGCGCGCGATGTCAGTCCGTCGGCGCGCGGGGAAGCAAACTTTTCTCGTTTTGTACGCTGAAGTTGAGAAGAAAAGTGTCAGGATCGACTTGTCCTGTGGAGGGACATCAGGGCGGATTACCAGACAGCTCAGGGCCGTCGTTTCAGCTACGGGCCTGAACAAAATTATTACTAAATTTCTTACAAACAACCTCTTGATATTTATTATCATTTAGAAAAATTGAAGTTTATCATTTCTGTTTTGTTGCGTTAAATCTATTAATTCTAATTTATTTAGAGTTTGAATTGTATACGCTAATTTAAGAAGGACATTCAAGCTAAGAAGATTTAGCATTTATTTCTAATATTGTATCAATATCATTGTCAGTGATGAACCTTAATATATTGTTTTTAATAATCAATTATATCCAAAACATTGAATGTTGCACAAAAAACACAGATGTTTAAAAGATAATTCAACTATTAGTGAAAAATTTGAAAAAATAATTTATGAGATCAAAAGTAATAAATTAAATAAATATCAAAATTTAAAAAAATTAACGTTTAAATAAAATATTAATAAATAACTTATAACTTATTAATTTTAGCCGTACTGAACCATTTTTTTCTCTCCACAGCCGACAAAGGTACAATCAAAACACACGTTTCAATATTCTGAACAAGATGATTACAAAAATTAATTTGTGTTAAAAAAAATATTTCTGGAATTAAACGTCAAATTTTGTGTTCAAAGTTGTTTTGTGAAGAAATGCGAATTTAATTAATTTTTCACGGAAAATTGTAAATTTGAAAGCAAAATAATTTTTGAAAAATAATATTGACTTTTGTTTTAATTCTTGTCAAAATGATTGCTGCGGCCGAAACGTGTAGAGCAGGATTTTTTTCTTAAACAATAAAAAACTCACAAAAAACCATCGAGGAAAAGCCGAATTTTTAATTCAAATCTCCACGAATCAACCCTCGATCGTGAATTTCAACAACAATTTTTTATGTTATTAATTCTGGCCCCATGAATAGTTGGATCTGCAGCTCTAGCCCGGTGGTCTGGCCGGCGTTTTGCCGGCGATAGCGAGCTCGAGTGGCGGTCGGAGCGTCGCAAGTCCAGCCCCTCGGCTTTCCACAAAACCCACTGGCTGTTCAGGCATGCATGCTGAAATCCTCGCGAGATGACAGCCACTCAAAAGTTTATATACGCGCTCGGATTAAATCTATCGTCGTGTCGTGTGGACCCTTAGATTTTCACTCTTTTTCCATCTCTCTCGCCTGCGCGTTTATAGCTGTTGTGAGAGAGAGAGCGTGTTTTTGATACGAGTGCTCGTGAAAAGCGTCTCTGCACTGACAGCGCGCACAACACACGCCGCAGCAGGTACCGATCACAGAAATATGCGTTTGGGGATAAAATGTGTCAAATGTGGCAACAAACGCCAGGGAAAAAATGTTGCTTGATGGACTGCCTTGATGTTTATTTTTATTATTTTTTATCATCAAAAAGCTATCCTGCCCAGCGTTCAAATTTTAAATCGTCGACCTTTTATTCTTAAAAAAATATAGCATGATGAATATATAATAGAATCTAGATTTTTTTTCATTAAATTCGCAACGCATTGAAAACTTTTGAAACATTTCATGGAACTTCTTCTCAAAATTAGCATAAATTTTCACTCAATTTTACAGTTAAAGAATTCATTCATGCGTCATAAAATTAAAAAAATTAGGTTTAAAAATGGGTTAATTCTCGTTGAGTGTAAAAAGCTTGATCAGAAACTGAGCAAATTTTAAGCACTTCGACTAATTTTCATTAA